GACAGTTCCAGAAAACTTTCCAGCAGAGACACTGGGACTTCTTTTTGGAGCCAGAACTTTAATGTGACCCATCTCAAAATAATTCTGTCTCTTTCTCTTTCCATTAAAAACTTTAAGTTCCTGGATAAATAATCTGGGTTAGAAGTATCAATTGTCCACTGTTGCTTTGATATTTGATGGCCACTGTGAGATGGTCATCAGATGCAAGTATGGTCACCCTGGACCTATTCCTGTATATCAATGACAATAAGTACAGTAAAGGGCATTTTTAGCTATATTGATGTTTTTCAAAACTATCATATTGCAATTCTAATCTTTCTGGAATTATTCACTATGTTCACTATTCCCAGTAGTGAGCAAAATAATTTTTACCATTTATATTTAATTGTGAGTTGTTTAATTCTATCCTGATCATGGGTGTTTCAGGACAAATATCCTACTTGGGAATTCCTTATATCTTAAGCAGATGAATGAGAAGAATGGAAAATTGGCTGCTGTTTTTTAAATACAAAAATATCTACAAATAATAGAATTAATAACTATAAGTTAAAATTGAATTTTTAAGTCTGCATCTAATATTAAAATGCTATTTTTTGAAGCTATGTGCAAAGTTTCAGTTTGTAGGATTGCATCCTGAGACTGCATCATCCCCATCAACCGAAATCTTTACTTCTAGGAGTTAAAGAGTGTATGTTTCTTTATATTGATAATTTACTTTATATTAATAAGTAAGAAAGGCTTAATGACTTGGTAATGGTTACATAATCTGACATGCCTTATATAAGTATCTACATACAAACCTCTTGGAGGTGTCAGACAAAGAAGATCTTGAATCTTTTTTTTTTTTTTTTTTTTTTTTTTTTTTGAGACGGAGTCTTACTCTGTCACCCAGGCTGGAGTACAGTGGCCGGATCTCAGCTCACTGCAAGCTCCGCCTCCCGGGTTTATGCCATTCTCCTGTCTCAGCCTCCCAAGTAGCTGGGACTATAGGCGCCCGCCACCTCGCTGGGCTAGCTTTTTGTATTTTTTTTAGTAGAGACGGGGTTTCACCGTGTTAGCCAGGATGGTCTTGATCTCCTGACCTCGTGATCCGCCGTCTCGGCCTCCCAAAGTGCTGGGATTACAGGCTTCAGCCACCGTGCCCGGCCTAGATCTTGAGTCTTTACTGATCTCAGTTGAAAGTGAGTTTCTATTTTGTGTGGCATGTATTTAAGATAGTGAACACAGGAGCAATTTGTTGCTGCATAATTATGTTAAACTTTTAAAATTTGACTAGCGTATTTTAATGATAAATTTCTAATAAAATTAAATAACTTTATAGAATTTCAAATTTATTTCTACATTGCAGAAGTTCATTCTATGATGGTTATATTTTAACTTTGAAACATTGACTCTGGTTAAATGTTGATTTTAATTCTCAGGCATTCGACAGTTCACCAAAAAATCTTCCCAGTATACCTCTGTTATAGATAAAATTCTCTTTAAACAGTGATTGTAATAAGGGAATATGGTGACTTGCGTGCTTTTTGGAAAATAGCCATCTTTTATTAGGAGAAGTCTTCCCTTGACTCAGGAGCAGTTTCAGGATACGCATATATAGAGTAACGAGGAAAGGAGAGTATATATTATCTATTCACTAATTCTGGCAATTTGGGATGCTTGAGGTAGATACTAAATTTACTTCTTATTTTTTTGGATTATGGTAGACCTTTGGAATCTACATGCAACATTTGATACTGTGTGTGACTCCTGATGAACACGCTGAAGATACATGATGTCCAGTAATTTTTACTGGGGATAATACCTACAACATACATAAGATGATGTTATTAAAATACATTTAAAATTACACAAGACATTTTAAAATTATTTAAGATAATGTATATAAAGAGTTTAACACAAATTTCAATTACCTTGGCTTAAGATGATTTAACTGTTTTGTAAGTTAACCAAGACCTACCATTTACTTCCTATTTAGTCTATGGCTGAATTTGGCATTTTTGAAAATCTTTTGATATCCTCTGAGAACTTATTATTATTTGTACTAATTTACTTCCTAATGAAAGCTATTAACAAGATTTACTTTAGGAAGTTTATCTCAGACAGGTTTATGTCCTTATGGAGCTTACAGTGTTAATTTCAAAGATGAAAAGGAAAGTTGTGTGTGAAACAGCACAGAGTACTTTGCAGCTTGTCCCAGGAGTTACAGGGAGTAGCATGGACTGTGGAAACTCACATAAAGTTCTTCAAAATTTACTGTTTCTTTTGCTTCCTGAAAATTGTAATCAGTTCCTCTTTTCCTACTTAACATGAAAAATAAGTCCAATGGAATAGTCCATTCATTAATAAAGTTCTATTATTTTTTCTTCATGAAATGACTAATTTAACAAATTAAATCCTTCATTTATTAAGGTTTGTCTATTACTTATTTTTCCTCTATTCATTTCTGTACAAACCACAGAGATTTATTTTTAAATTTTCTTAGCACTATCAATGTACCTATTTAAGGATAATTTATAGCACATCTGTTGTATTAGTTGGGATATTTTAAATTAAATTCACAGAACTTTATATTAAGTAGAAATACCATTTCAGAGGAGGACTCTGAATATCTTTATTTAGACTATGATATGGTTTGGCTCTGCATCCCCACCCAAATCTCATGACATATTGTAATCCCCACCTGTCGAGGGAGGGACCAGGCGGGATATGATTGGATCGTGAGGGTGGTTTCCCCCATGCTGCCCTCAGGATACTGAGTAACTCAGCAGAGCTGATGGTTTTAAAGTGTGACACTTCATTCTTGCACTTCTCTCTCCTGCCACTATGTGAAGAAGGTCCTAGCTTTCTCTTTGCCTTCCACTATGATTGTAAGCTTTTTGAATCCTCCCCAGCGATGAGGAACTATGAGCCAGTTAAACCTCTTTCTTTTATAAATGACTCAGTCTTGGTATTTATTTATAACAGTGTGAACATGGACTAATATAGACCATATACATAATGCTTAACAAATTATTGCCAGAGGAATGTGGCATATACCATGATGGGTCTAGATTGGGCTGTTTGCCTGGAGAAGAGGTGCTGGAGGTAGAAGTTGAAGATGTGTGTATAAGACAAAGGAGAAAACTGCTAACAAAGTCTGACATGTAGTTTCCTTAAGAATAAAACTTTGTATTTTATTAATTTTTTTTTTTTTTTTTACTGTTCTTGGAAGATAATCTGGTTCAAAACTAATGCTCAAAAAATCATTGTTGAATAAATGAATGAATGGGCAATACTGTTTCCTAACACAGTACATTACACTTCTGAGGAAGTCTGCTAGTTTCTAGGACTGCAATGATTATCTATCCTTAGGTCAACGGTATAATAAAACATTATTAAATATTGTGACTCAGATTTGCATAATACAAATTACTATAATATGAATGAATCCATAATTCTTCAGTATATGGTGGTTTTTCTAACTGCATTGGAAATCCTTTGAGAACAAAGATAACAGAATCTACTTTTTGGTGTCCCAATATAGCAAGTAAATGTTCACCTAGTTAAATTGTGTTTGAATGAAGAGGGTTAAAAATGAGAGTTACTAACCAAATAGAGGATTAATTTGGTAGAATAAGCTCTAGTCTTGGTAAAGCTATATTTTTGTAGAATCTGATATATTCAGTTCTGTTAGTTAAATTAGCTACTTAATTATATTTGTTTATTTTACTTTGTGAGTTATGTCTTCTGTAAAGTCTGAAGATAAGAGAGTGAATTATTATAATATACATCCAAAAATTACATAACACTTACATAAAACTTCTATATCATAGGTGATTCATTTACTTGTGATTAGATATTTAGAAGATTGCAGCATGTAATTTAAAGATAAGGAATTCAAAGTTTTTCATCCACATTTATGTTCTTTGAGAATGAACAACTGTAGACTGTGAGACATGAGTTCCTTTTTCTATACCTTTCTATACTTTGAATGAGTACTCAAATAATTATCTGATTTCTATTTGTGATGTAACTATGAATTAATTACACACGGAGATTCTGTTTTGAATGAATTTTGTTATTCGACATTTTTGTGCCTCCGTAATGTTTTTTTTTTTTTCTATTCATACTTTAATATTCTGCTTTTTGGAATATATTACAGTAGTGAAACAAGACATTTATTATTGCTAATTAATGGTCATGTTACATGGTACAGATATATAATTTTAAATACTTATTTTTATTTAAACTATGGAGTGCTTTGATTAAAAATATTTTTCTAATATTATAAATATTTGATCCTTGAAAAAATTGAAAACCATGTTTATAAATGGAAATCAGAATCTTTGGGCGGGAGGTCTTTGGCAAGGCAACTATTTTACACAAACAACTGAATCTGTTGGAGGGGACCACACGAAGCCTGCATCCCCTTTTGAACCCTCAGTAGCATCCTCCAGGGAAAGTCACTGTGTGAAGATTGTTTAAATGGCAGCAGTAGGGTGCATAGTAACACTGCTCCTCAAAGGAAGCATCACCTTATCTGACCCAGTCTTGGAGTTAATCAGGCGCCTGCTTCAGCCAGTTGACAATAATGTCTCCAACTATTTCCATTTTTTAGCATTCAGGAGCCATCTGAGGACATATTTTGTTTGTATAATAGATCTTCACAGGATATGTTTTGTCAAAACTTAGGATGAACTTGGTCTTTTGCTGGATTTTAACTTCTAATAATACATAACTGTAAGGATTTCTCAAGTTCTACGATGGCATTGATTAAGCATCCTAACAATGATATCAAAAAACATGCTCTTGCCTACCTGAGCCATTTGGTAGAATAAAAGGTAACATCTTTTGGATTTGCAATAAGTATTTGAAGGGTTGCCCTTTTCATTTAACCTTTTCTGAGACATTAAGTGTATGGTTTTCTTCCCCTATAATGAGCTTCTTAATTTAAAGAAGTATAAAGTTCTGTTTGTGAAAAAAGCTATTATGCAGCTTGAAATGTAGGCAGCAGTTACCTTGTTCAGTTTGTGGGAAATGATCCTCTTGGCAAAGCACTTCAAATGTAAAGAGCTGTGGAGAACACAGAGTTGGTTTGATTAATACAGCATGTTCAGTTATGATTCTGTCTATCATGGTCTTGATTAATACAGCATGTTCAATTATGATTCTGTCTATCTCTTCACTGCTTCAGTGGTTAAGCATATGCCGTTAGCTGCCAGAGTCAACACTCATATTTTTCTTTCCATTCTGTGAGAAGAACTTCAAATGTTATTATTCGTAAAGTCCTTTACTGCAGCCTGTTGGTCTGGACTAAGAACACACATTATTCCATGTCATATTAAGAATTCCAACCTAGAAAGGTCAACTGTTAGGTTTATCACAGTGTTTATGGAGGTGCCGAGTATTTACTTACAACTGTAGAGTATTTGAGATATTTTTTAAATTTATAAATTAGAATGAAATATTGCTACAGTAATTAGCAATGTAGCATCATTATAATTTTTCTACTACAGCATTTTTTTTTCATTATTTGTCACTCCTACTTCTGTATATACAAGCAAACCAGTGATTGTAAAAAACAACAATTAAGTATAAGTTGATAAATGACAGTATTCATTTCCCATTTTTTTTTATTATTATACTTTAAGTTCTAGGATACATGTGCACAATGTGCAGGTTTGTTACATATGTATACATGTGCCATGTTGGTGTGCTGCACCCATTATTATTATTATTTTTTTTTTTTGAGATGGAGTTCTACTCATGTTGCCCAGGCTAGAGTGCAATAGCGCAATCTCGGCTCACTGCAACCTCCGCCTCCTGGATTCAAGCAACTCTCCTGTCTCAGCCTCCAGAGTAGCTGGGATTACAGAAATCTGCCACCATGCCTGGCTAATTTTTTGTATTTTTAGTACAGATGGGATTTCACCATATTGGCCAGACTGGTCTTGAACTCCTGACCTCAGGTAATCCACCTGCTTAGGCCTCCAAAAGTGCGGGGTTTGCTGGTGTGAGCCACCGCACCCAGTCCATTTCCCACTTGTTTTTTTCACCTTTGTTTCAAAACATTTGTTTGTGTCATACCGAAAGCAGCTTTCTAGCCAATCAATCAACATTTTAAAAAGAAAGGAAAATGAAAAAACTGATTATTAATCATGAAATTCCTACAATGTCTTATCTAGACTTACCAAAAAAAAGTAATATGGAAGGAAATTGATAATATAAGGTACAGTATGATTTGGAAATACTTGCTTTTTACTTTTGTAAGACAAAAATATTATATCTTTCATTTCTTTTTATCCAGTAATAAATGAATTTTAAAAGGATAGAGACCCAGGGTAGAGTAATATGCTGTCATAGTATTCAGTGCTAGCCAACCTAGAAAGTCTGAGGGACACAAGGCTTCTGCTTGTGTGATATCAGTTGCAAGGTCAGGAGATTGAAAAACCATCTTTGATAATTCACTGGAAATATCCGCAGAGCTTATGGCTACATTTATTACAGAGAAAAGATACAGAAAATCAGCCAAGGGAAGAAATAGTCAAGGCAGAGTCTGAGAGAGATCCAAATATGGAGCTTCTGTTTATTCTCTTCCCATGAATTCATGAATGGTGTTATCTCCTCCTTGCCACGGAGTGTAACAATATCTAGAAAATATTGCCAGTCAGGGAGGCTCACCTGAACCTCATCACCTTGGAAATAACAAAAAGAACAAGAGAAGACAAATGAAAAAAAGGACTGTGATATCAAGACCGTTGGGCTATAAAATCCTATCTTTATGTTTGTAATGGAATCATTTAAATAAATAAGAGAAATGTGCAATGCTATACTGCTGGCCAAAAGAATACGCCACACTCAAAAGGAATTAGCATTAGGAAACCTAAGTTGAAGAATGCTTTACCAAAATGTATTAGAGTTAGGAAACCTGAGCTCTTGTTCCAGTCTTATAAAAATATCTACGTAATTATAAGATGTAATTTATAATATATATAATTATAAGATATCCATGTAATTTGTAAGAATATCTATGCAATTTATAAGATTTTCTATGTATTCAAGCTACTCCGAATCCCAGTGATTTTAGGAGGAAAATAAGATAATTTAATTTACTCTTTTGGGATCACAGAGACATTCGTTGATACTCAGTGATGAAGCCATGCACCCTCTCTCTAAGAAAATGGACAAATGCTCTTAATAGTCACAATTGTCATAAATTTTCTGTGCGTTCAAGACATTTGACCCACATCCCTAAACCTAGTTTATGGAAACTCTAAAATTTGGTGACTTCTAAATAATCTCTCAGATTTAAAATTGTAGATTGATTTATAGCATAACATCAAAATCATACGTGAAATTCTATTGTTAAGTGAAATAGACACATATAGCATAAAAAGTGCAATTGTTTTCTAGAATGTCTAATGAAAGTCAGTTGTTCTTTTATTGTTTCCGTATTGTTCAAGTTTTACTATTGTGTGTATAGTAAGAAATATGTGGGTGTATATTTATATATGTACATGTATATATGTGTATGTACATATACACAGACACACATACACACACATGTTGTTTTGTTTCTCTGGCAAAGCCTAACTAATACAACAGAAAATAATTTATCATTAGAATTTTAAAAGTATTTGCTCATTCTCCTTCTTAATCCACTGTCATTATTAAGTCCAATGCTATTCTTATTCCAGATCCCTTCTATGTCACCTATTTTTGCTCTTTGTAAACTTTCAGATCTTATTTTTCACTCATTTCAGACATTCTAAATTTCATGCTAAACTACTAGGATTTGGAAAATTTTTAATTGTATTTGCTGGGTGAAATCAGTTTGAAAGTTCATGTACTTTGGTTCTAGAAAATGTCATCACATCATTTGGTAAAAACTTTTTTTTTCCTAATTTTTCTACTCTTTCTGAGACTTCTATTATTGAATACTAAATTTATGAATGGAGCTTTCTAGTTTACATATTTTGGTCTTTGTTCAACTTATGGAGTGATTTCATTGGAAAGAAAATAAGATATCTCTTTATTAAAGTTATTTGTGCTAAAAAGTGATACTTTAGTTTCTAAGAGTGCCTTTTCCTCTAAATTTTTCTTTATTAAGGAAAAATTTTTTAATGCATGAATACCAAATCGTCTGTTTTTCTGGATATCAACTTTAGTTGTGCTCAAATTTTATTCTTAACCTTCACTGTTTTAATTTTCTCTAAATTCCTTTATTTTCTTGAAACGTTGATCTCTGTTTAAGCTTCTGTCTTAGCAGCTATCAGTCCATATTTGTGAATAGAGCACCAAAAAACTTATTGATAACTCGTGTGTGTGTCTGTGTGTGTGTGTGTGAGAGAGAGAGAGAGAGAGAGAAAGAGAGAGAGAGAGAGAGAGAGATTTCAGAATGGAATTTATTGAGTGGTAAGCTTTAATGTAAAATGAATGATTGGGAAGGCACTCATCTCTTTCTTTTAGAATGACTATATGTCATTGTTTGAAGATATTTTCTCTTTGGCCAATTTTCCCAGAAAGGAATCTTTCCATGTGCTAGTGTGGCAGTGGGGGCCACATAGAGAGGAGAGCCTGGGGACTGACTGTCCAATGGCAAACTTTCACCGAGTCCTGCTAGTTTTAGTAGAGGTCCCCAGTATTCATTGAGCCTATTATCTCAGGTTTAAATTACCTCTAGTTCAAACTTACCAGAGAATAAACAACAGGTCTTCTGAAAGGCAGGAGCTTATCCACAATTATGTGAAGGTATAAAGGGAGAGGAGTATTCACATGGCTGTGTAGGACAGGATAGCTGGTTGAGAGTTCTGGTGACTTTTTATACAGACTTTTTGCCTATCAGCCTCTTTGTTCTGTTAGAACTGAACCCTGCCTTCAGAACCATCTAGTAATTATCTTCCTGAAATGTTCTTTGCTCTCAACATCAGACTGTGCTTCAACCCCTTCCCTAACCCCCATCCTTAGAGGCAGATAAGTAGCTTCTGGCTTCATCCAGTCCACTCGTATGACTACTATTCATTCCTGAATTTTCTAATTTATAAAACATTGTGATTTCTTGTGTTCTTTCCTATTTTAGTTCAGGTCCTGTGTTTACTTGTCAAATTTTACCAACATTGAATCTATTCTCAAAAGTCAAAATGACCGTCATTAGCTCAGATATCATAAAAATATAGTCTGTTTTCTAAATACCAGTAACAATTGAACAACAATGGATGTTAAGTGGAGACTGAATATTTTAGTATTGGTTAGTATGTGTTTTCAAGTGAGCTATGTAATGGAGAAAATAATATAGTTATGGGGCATAAAAGTTTACTCATTTTTATTTAATACTTTAAAAAATAAAATTGAATTGAAACACAGTGACGAAGACTTGGAAGAAAAAGAGACATTACATTATAATCCTTTAAAAGTTAATTAGGCATTGTCTTCCCATAAAACCAAGTGTGCATTTAATAAAATCTGTCATAGCAAAAATAAATCTTATCTTCTAATTTTATGCTTTTCTTATAACTAGATATTTTACTTTTTTATCATTCTTATTCTCCTAGTTTTTTGTTGGAAAAAAATATAGTTTCTAAATTTAACAATGCATATTTTTCACTCCATTTAAAATCTCAGCTACAAGAGGATATCCCTGTAAATTCTGAATTCTCCATAAATTTTTACATATTTAAAGTCTGTTTTATTTAAATTTTTAATTTAAAAAAATTCTTTCTTAGATACTGCATGTAATTCTATGCTTGCTTAGAATTGCACCTATATCACTGGCACCCAATCACTACGAAATATTAAGAAATAATTATTTAGCAAACACAGGATATATTTAGGAAACCAAAGTTTTTTGTCTGCATGTTATTAAAATTGATTGCTGAAACTATGATGTAGACACATGCAACATTTATTAGTATAATACTTTCTAAATTATCAGGGATATTTTAAGATAAATAACTCATTTTTAATTTTAAATAAGCCAATGTAACAGACTGAGTGGGACATTTATTTACTTTTAGAGTCACTGAAATGGTTCCTACTGGACCTATTGCCATACAACAGTCTGAAGACATGAAATCTT